ACACTCTGATAAAGTCAATTCTCTCAAGAAGTCCAACGCTCTGAATATTTCCACTATCCGTCAAATCTCATTCAGATTACTCCAAAATGAATGATTATTTATCAGAAGTAAGTAAGCTGTCCCCTTATCAAATGGTCTTAAGCTAAATCTCTCGAAATGTCAGCTTGTTCATTTCACTTTCATACACAAGCAGGATTTATCTGGACTGGTTCTTCTACCATAGATGCCGACGAAGGTGAAACTCAGTTGACTGCCAATTACCCTGGTCTAGATCTTTCTTCTTCTTCTTCTTCTCAACATTCCTTATCCCTCCACATCATTCCACAGCATCTTAATTTCCAGAAAGACATTTGTTTCAACCTTCTAAATAAGCAAGTTGAAACAGTCCGGTGTCACTCAGTCTCTACTGTTACAGTTTCTTAATTCTTGTATTCCACCTATCCTCCCTTCTCCTCTCCCTTAATCGTTCTTGACTTACTTGACAAAGACTTCGTTGCACTCGGAACGACACTATATGTTGTCATTACGGTCGGTGGGATGTCAGTTGACTAACTCATTAATATGACTGTAGATGAACGCTTGAGCTCTTGCAAGAAATTACAGAATATCATCCTGCGGGACTGTCAGCATTCTCTTCATACACAAGTCACTCCCTCCATCTCATCATATAGGACTTGAAGCAGTTAATCATAAAGGACTTTACGCTCGAATGACTAAGTATGAAGCACTGCAGTGTCCTAGTTGGCACGTATTTTTTATGTGATGAGAAGTTAGTGCTGTTAGGTCTGAAACTACCAACTGACTGCAAAACATTCATTCATTCATTCTTTCCTCCATCAATGTATTCTTGTCACTATTCCACTTAAATTGTGACTTGGCATTCATATTCCTTATGACATTACATTACCATCAATGTAAGTGGTCTCCTCATTATTCTAGTCCTTACTATGCACTGTAAACAGATGCCATATTGGTATTACAGGCTGAAAATTCCACATTGTATCAAAAGTGCTGCTTGGAATAAAGCTATTATTATCATTATTATTTTCAGCCTTAAGGAAACGAAATCACAATCTTAATAAAAACTCTGAGTTGTGTATAATAACGCGATAATTTAAAGTTTAAAAAAGTACTGTAAAAAATTTACCTCGACTATTCAGTGGATCTATACGTTGTCTAGAGACGGTAGACTTTGGTGATCTGAAACTTGAACCTCGTCTACTTTTCGATGGAGCTTGACTAAATTCACTTTCAATATTCAGTCTATTATGCTCTTCTAATGGACTTGAAACTTGCCGTCGTTTACCACTATGATGACGAGTAGGCGATGTTTTACTCGTGGAACACTTTGAAGGCAATGATGAGAGGTGATGTGAACATGGAGATTCTTCATTATTATAACCATTTGGAAGATTTTCTGACTGTGAAGGTGTCTGTGATGCGATGAATAAAAAAAAGGCGGATTGAAAGAGTGACTTCATTAAATATATAGTCAGATGTTTCAAAATTACTGCCTTGATAGGTTATTATAAGTACTATAAAATTACTGATCATTGAAACTTACACTATAAGAAAATGGATATCTAGAGGACTTTTAAAATAAAGGCATATTGATACCTATAGATAGGGTAATAATGGATGCTGCAGATAAGAACCCTGTCTATCTGAAGTTTAGTTAGAAAGAGGAGGTTATAGGAGACATTCTAAAATGCCAACATTCTCTGTGTCTGAACTCGTATTCAACGTCCCAACTAAAACAGTACTCACACAGCGAGTTAAGGATAAAGTAACAATCACGGCCGCATCAATATAAGCTTATGAATTTAACTGTTCATGTGGAGCCAATTATATTGGCCGTATTCGGTGGGTTTTGTCCATTTAACTGTAAGGTTGAGTAAAGGAGAAATCAAATGCGTAAATAGTGGTCTTATCCCATTTAGTATATACTGGACATTCCGTGTAACCAGACCAGGTGTTCTCGATTATCTCCCGTGTTCCTGGTGATTTATCTTGAGGAGGCCGACTACGTCTTCTATCAGTAGATCAGAAAACCTGGTCTCTGTGTATGGAAGAAATACGTTCAAACACTTTGTTTACCTTGGCCTACAATAAGGACAACATATTCTACATAAACATTGGCAATTGAAATTTTTATCTCATTTTTTTTCCTTTGCTTCATTGCTAAACGTTTATTTCATGTCTTTAGCGGTTTTATGACCTTTATTATTTTCATGAATAATCCCCATCCAGACATTAATGAAAATAAAACACGTAGTTCAGCGGAGAGGCTATTTTTAGGGGATTCATTTTGTTTAACTCCTTCACCTCTGTTTGCATATATCAGTTCATCTGTTGCTGTGGTGCCAGGTAAATTGATATTTCGATGCGTATCCTGTATAAAAGGGTTCAAGAACACTATCCTGCATGGTTGCAGAAAGGTTGTAATGGATCCCTGCCAACACTGGTCATACCATCTCCTTCTCCTTCAAAACAATCTACAAAGTGAAGAAGACCCTGCCAAAAGCAATACGTTTACGTCCCCTTTGCATTGCTGAAGCCTTAGGCCATTAAGCTAGAATAACCAGAGGTATGCATGCTATAGAAGATTACTCAACCACTTCTACTATTATGGTAGCAACATTGTTGCTTTCTGCTGACTTGATGTTTGTGTGCTTGTTTTCCTTAGTCCGTATAACTCTTGTATTTATTTAGAACTCCTACATAATCCCATATTTTGCCAAGTTTCGATGTGCATCCTGATAACCACTCGCTCATCAAATTATTCATCTTCTTAAGTAACATATTCAGCTACTTTTATGGATTGAATAAAATTGACAATTATTTTTGTTTGGTTGGAGGATTTCATCATGAGCTGACATCGGTTAGGGAACTATTGGAAAACCAATAGGGAGTATTGCCAGACAGCTGTTTTGTCTGTCTAGTCTGTAATTATTCGACAGTAGGCACCCATGCCGTCAGTGGCACAGTGGTTAGGACTCCCGCCGATCATGCACATGGTCCGGGGTTCGATCCCCTGCCGACGAACACCTGATATCTATTGTCGGCCTGCAAAATTTGGGCTACCGATATCACATGCTGAAAATTCCATAGCCATACCAAGAAAAACGGTGTGGAATCAAGCTGTAATAAAACAAAACAGAACAATAACAGCCTCATCCTGTAAAACTAAACACTGCTACAGAAATTTCAAGTGACCAGTGATAGAGGACGACGGAGAAGTGGACAAAGTGGATAGGTGGTGGTCAATACGTATGTTTCAATTGGAACCCAACGGAACAATAACAATAACAACTAACAGCCAACACCTGTAACTTACTGTTTCAGTTGTATTATCAGTAGCTGAATCATTCCGCTCAGATGACATTACGGATCCTTGTCTGTGTTTCCCTTCTCTATATTGCTCCAATTCGCACACAAGAGATAGTAGGGAAAGTGGACAATGGTACGGATTTGTGTAAACGGAATTTGTAAATTGATCAACGTCAACATCTCCGTTGTTCGACTGTAAACTCGTCACCATCCTTTCCTCGTCTTTTTCATACTCTTCTGATGCATTTTCACTTATTATTGATTCAGGAGGTTTAGACTGTTCAATAGAATAGAAACTACAGGCTGTCTCAGTAGGAATAGTGAAATTTTTAGACATTTTCATTTGTCATCCCAACGATTCTTGGTTGACAAAACTTATAAGACCGTATGTAACTGAAATCAATAATTAGTCATGTCATGAGTTAATATTACTCTTTGTTTCATCAGGCCTTCATCTTCTCTTCAACGTGAACACACTTTCGGTAACTTAAAGGATTGAAGTAAGCAGACTGTGTGTATCGTGATCGGCTGACATTGTTTTACCATTGTAATTTATTCGTTTGCGTTCGAAGCCAAGCATACATGATTTGAAGCTTGAGCTTTCAAGTCTCAGTAGCAGTGGTGTCTTTTCACGGGGTGGGTTTTCTAAGCCCTCTTCGACCGAGGTTATTACCGGCTAGGTTTAGAAGTCAGCCAACTGGTGATCGATCGCCAGAGCACATACGGTGTGGTTGGCTAGTATTCTCCCGCTGAACGAACAGCTCAGACTACTATTCCTATTTCTTCCATAAAAATAGGTGTACAGCTAAACCTTAATCGATTCCAGCCTTCTTATTTTCATTTTAACAGTTTCCGAAACAACTGGTAGTTGGCACATTTCTTAGTAAATTAGACAGTACCGAAAGCGCCACCAAAATACCTCGGTGAGTAGACATTTCTCTGAAAGCGTCATGAACATAATTACTTATTCAGAATGCGAGAAATAATCAACATGAGTGATTCAGTCCCTCATCAAGTGAAAGATCCATTCAACCTGAATAACTAGATCCCTGCTGAGTTTGATAATACCCATAGTATCTCTCTTTGTGGAAATACGAATCACTATCACTTCAATATAACTAAGCTTGCTTAATCCGTGATGCTGATATCACTTCAAATCAGTATTCCTATGGTATTGGCTGGTTAGATCAAAATGATAATAGTAGTGATAAAGTTCAGCTCATGATTAGGATGAATACTGTGTGCCGTATTCCAAGCTTCGATATTTGACCAAAAGAGAACACTGGTCAGTTTCCCAAGTTAAAATAATTTTTCGCATATTTGAAACGTAAACACCACAACTTGTTGCAGTAGACTGACTAACGGGGCAAGGTGGAACTATGCAAAAGATTGCATCAGTTCAAATTGCCACTTTCCACAGAAGCACACATTTCAGTAGAAAATGTAAGCTTAATGAAACTACACTGGCAAAGGAGTGCTAGAGTGATACAGATATTAATCACCCCATCAAAGTACATGTTATTTTGTGAGAAATATGCTCTGGTTTAATAAATGCAGTTTAAAACACCTCATCTGGGCAAAGTGGATAGGTGGTGGTCAATGCGTATGTTTCAATTGGAACCCAACGGAACAATAACAATAACAACTAACAGCCAACACCTGTAACTTACTGTTTCAGTTGTATTATCAGTAGCTGAATCATTCCGCTCAGATGACATTACGGATCCTTGTCTGTGTTTCCCTTCTCTATATTGCTCCAATTCACACACAAGAGATAGTAGGGAAAGTGGACAATGGTACGGATTTGTGTAAACGGAATTTGTAAATTGATCAGCGTCAACATCTCCGTTGTTCGACTGTAAACGCGTCACCATCCTTTCCTCGTCATTTATTATTGATTCAGGAGGTTTTGACTGTTCAACAGAATGGCAACTAGAGTCTCTTTTATTTGCCTGGATTTCAATGGTATTCTGTACATTATTTGAATAGGTTATAAATGCATTTTCTGGGTTATTTTGATTGTTTGTCACCGGACTATGCGACGAATATTTAGTAGGACTGGAAGCATCTCTATAACTGGAATTTGTATTAGCAGTAACGGTGGTGGTTGTAATAATGGATTGAGACGTTGAAGTAATACTAAATGTGCCATTTTCTTTAGATTGCCTGAGCCGCATCTTATTTAAAATGTATAACTGTAAAACAAAATTACAAAAGGGATATTAAAATCAATTCATTACTGCTTTATCTATCTATCTATTTATCTGTATATATACATATATATATATGAAAGGTATCTCACTTAGTTTGATGGCTGTTTCCTAAGAGGAAATGTCAGGAGCGGCGCTAGCAACAGCATTCTGGAAAATTAATCACATCAATAGCTTCAGTACACAAAAAAATATGATGCGGGCTGGTGAAATTCTTCGAGAAGCCAGTCAGTCATCATTCTATGTGCTTTTCCTCTTGAAGGTAAAAATGAACACGACGATAAGGAATATCCACACCATCTTTCAGAATAACTGGTGATACTGTTGAGGTTTCAGAAGAAATGAGGAGATATATAATAGAGGTGAATGGAATTTGTCATAGAGGAATGAAGGAAAAAGAAATTCTCCAAAATGTTGAATACAGACTCAACCAACTAATCCAAACACCAAGTGATAAACATTCAGTATAAGAGGCTCTAATGCAGTAGGGATCAGTTTCCCCTAGGGTTTCCATACTAAGGTCAAACCCGAACCGAAGGAAATTGACAACTATAGAGTGATGTGTACAATGCTCAAATAACGAAGACCAGGTGGAGGAGGAGAATGAGGAGGACCTCTACAGACAACTGTGGGCAGTAATGGCTAAGCCTTCAGCCTTGTAACAACACCAAAATTCTAGTGAGTGATATGAATGCCAAACTGGGAGCGAAAAGCATAAGAAGAAAGCTCACAATGGATAGAGGGGCTCTCGGTGAAATAGATGAGAACCACGAAATCTTCTCATACTTCTGCAGCTTTAGTGATTTGGTGATTGGAGGAAGCATATACAAGCGAAAGGAAATACACTAGGCAGGATAAATTCCACCGAATGGACATTAGGGAAGTAAGATTGACTTCATCTCAGTTTTGATCAAGAAAGTGGAGACGCAGCCTGCTGAAAAAAAAGCCAAGAAGGGGAGAAAATATGTACTCAGATAATTATCTAGTTCAAAGAAACCTTCAATGTCAGTCTGAAAGCCTTTAAAGCCACTGAAGATAGACCACAATGCAAGTTCAACAATCAGAAAAAAGGCAAATTGAATGAATCTGGAAGTAATGTAGAATTAGTCAATAAAGTTGGTATTCATGGATGTTCTTCATCCACTCCTTCTGTCTCACCATTGTCATCTTCAGTACCAACTAGAGATTCATCTGTCAATCATCCTACACGTCTGTCTGATACATTTTGGTGGGATTCATCAAAGCGTGCAGTATCAAGCAGCATTACAGGTGTGGATAAATTCCAACAACTGAGTGTTGATGTTCAGGATTATGAATATAAATGTGGTGACAAGGAGAGACAGGTGATTATTATTTTATTTTTTTTAAAGAAAGTTCTTTTACTACACTTTTTCTACACACTAATGTTAATTAAATTAGTCAGTGATGTTCCTGTTCAACTATAGTTAGAATTACTTAACGGTAACATTAGTGTTTTAGACGAGAATAATAATCAATTGTCGGTTTGCAGGGATTTGATTTGATTTGATTTGATTGGTTACAGGATTTCATCATGAGCTGACATCGGTTAGAGAACCAATGGAAAACCGATAGTGAGTAATGTCAGACAGCTATTTCGTTTATCTAGTCTGAAACTCATTGATAGTACTCACTCACTGCACTGGTGTTCTAACCCACGACCTAACGGTTATCAGGTGAGCGAGCCCGTACACCATTAAGCTACTCACTAGGACCCGCCAATCCAATGGTCAGCCAGTTCAACATCTGCCAATTCATGATTTACGATACAACGCGATTGGTACTGACCAATTTCATCGTCTTTATTCTCAACAAAAATGTCTACACAATGTACCGAATTCTCAGTGTCACTTATGGCGTAGTATTTCCTCCTCATACAGGATCTCCGAGTAAGATAATAGTGTATAGTATATCATGTAATGCAGTGTTGTTAGATCTGAAATAGATACTAATCCCTTATGATATCTCCCTTCGTCTCCACGACACGCGAACCAGCATTTCGAGACTCAAAGATATAATTGAATACTTAAGACAATAGAAATTAGAGAAAATATGATGCATTGTATGGGGTGGAAATTCATTTAGTCCAGTGATTCAAGTAGCCGTCACAACCATTCAATAATATTGATTTACGGTGGTATAAGTTGGGTACGTCGTATTTTGTTTGGAATTACATCGATATCAACTGTTTACCACCTCATTATCAACCAGGAATACACGGTCTGAATTTCGCAAGATTGTATGCTCTGTTAAGCTGGAATTATAAGGCTCCACGACAAATGTATTAATCTGAGAAGCTGAACAAACTGATTCTATGGTGAAGTATATACGAAAAAGTCAGATTCGGTCTCAGACCTCCAATGAATGAATGAATGAATGAAAAATTAGCTCTTGTAGGCCTGAGCATTGATCGGTAAGGTTGCATACCCATTCCAATATTCCATCAACTATTCCGCGAATACTATTGTCGGAGGATACCACTGCGAACATGTTCCAGTTGACAGTGTGTAAAATGAATCACCCATGCTTCTAACAGATCTGTCACTGAACATTTTCCCATCTTATTATAGTACACCTCTGAACAAGCGTTTTAAAACACACAAACTACCCTTGTGCTAGAGAGTGGAAGCCTTCGGGTAGCCAGTCGACCGATTTGTCTTTTTCTATGAATGCAAAAGTAAGCGTTGGGACACAGAATGTCTGCACCATATTTGAGCTTAGCTGATGAAGAGAGTGAGTAATCTACCTCAGTTACCGAAACGATAGTCATGAACACACTGAGGGAGTGTGTGCCTATCAGTATACAAAGCTTTCATGCAGTGGGGATCAATTTCCCTTAGGGTTTCCATACTAAGGTCAAAGCCAAACACAAGGAAAGTGACAATTATAGAGTGATGTGTACAATGCTCAAATAACGAAGACCAGGTGGAGGAGGAGAATGAGGAGGACCTCTACAGACAACTGTGGGCAGTAATGGCTAAGCCTTCAGCCTTGTAACAACACCAAAATTCTAGTGGATATTTTGAATTCCATAATTAGATCAGAAAGAAGCGCAAGGACACTGAATGTGTCTCTACAGGCAATTGAAAGCTAATAGATGAGATGCGGTTATTGAAGCATAAGAGAAATCAATGCACTGGTGAACAGCGAGGGGATATATTAGATATGCCCTGCAGAGCAATGAGCGAAGGATTGAAGAAGTGTGTTAGAAAAGATGAAAGACTTTCACGACACCATCCACCGACAATTGAAGCAGAACAAGCCGCAGGTGGACAAGACTTCAATAAACTATATCACTCGACCAGAGCACTATCCACGAAGAGATCAAAACAAATAAAACCATTGAGTGATAGTGTGCTAGACGCAATCAAAAAAGAATTGGAGTGGAGGAAACTCCGGGCTGACCAATTAAAATTACTCTTGAATCAACTACCACCTTCACTTTGTCAAGAAATATCACAAAAAGCCACAGAACTGCGAGTGAAGACAAACCCTGTGACATAATCAGGGAGATAAAATTGGTGAATGTCGGGATAGCAGCAATAACAGATGAAGTCCCTCAAGGATCACTCAAGGCGTACCCAGAGATCTCAGCAGACATGCTCACTTCACCACTGTGGGAGTTGTGAAAGTAATGGAAGTAAAAGGTACTTTCCAATTGGGAGAATAGTTAGTTTATCCAACTGCCAAAAAGGGAGACTTAGGCCAATACAAGAACTAGCATGGAATCATGCTGCTGTCGCCCCCCACCCCTCAAACAAACATCCTGAAACGGTGTCATGGATAGGAGACTTTGCCTTGAAAAAAGTAAATACTATACCGATACTATTTCAGTTTTCTTCTAAGTATCTCAGGAATCAATCATCTTCACTACGTTGGTAGCTCCAATCCAGTGAATGCCCAGGCACCACTACTAGTACTTGAGTTACTCCTAATCTTCAAAAACGTTTTTTCTTCGTCGTATTTCAAAGTTTCCTAATCCATTATTCTTCTTCTTCAGTATCGTAAAGATTCCTGCCCTCCTACTACTAATGTGAGCCCCATAAAAAAGCATTTCCCATGACCACTGACCATTACGTAATATTGGGTGCACACAAACTATACTGTTATCACTCCTGTTGAAGTTGATTACTGAAAGGTCCCCACGGTAACTCTAAACTACATTGATCCAAACAAAAGACGCAGGTTAATCGACATAATGACTCTGATCAATCAATCAGATAAACCCTTAGTAAAAACCCCGAAATATAAATGCAGTACACGAATTACGTTACAAACTCCACGAAGAGAGGCCAGTGTAGACTCTAAGCACCAATAAATACCAATGGAGTACGGCTGCACTAATGACCTTGGGACGCTTGGTCAGAGAGTTAGTGAAACCGTACAAATGACGTTATAATCATGAATAAGACATACTTAACGAAGAGTTTCGATATTAAACGGGATATCTGGTAAGTTTTCGTTAGGTTTGGGAAAGATTAAGTTGAGGTTTAGTCTAAGGAACAGTTCAGGGTTAGATTAACCTGACAAAGGACATATGACGGTTGTTTCGAGTTAGACTAGGGATACTTTGGGGGTAGTTCCCCTTTAGGGTTAATTTAAGGTTGGAGTCAGAAGACCTAGTTAAATGCATGTATAGCATGTGGAATGATTACTATACTGACACTCCAGTCGAAGATTGAGAGACATTTCTGTCACACGGCAAAAAGAAAGGCATCCTGCGGAACACTTGCATGTCCTTTTAATCACTATTTTCATAAATTGATGTATTTTGCACGTAAAATTCGCCTTTTTCATGTGATTGGTACATTCAAGGTCATTTGTCACTCGCTTCACTTTGATGCTTAAAGTTGAATTCCACTCCAAGAAGTATTATTTGAGTACTGTCGGGATAATATGCTTATAGGAAGCCTACAGCCACTGTTGTTGGATATGTGTGTACAGATATCCGGGCTGTTGTTACAGAA